TTTTTTTGCAGAGCCTGAAATATTGCCTGTCAGGATGGCTTTAGACGTTATCAGTTTATTTCAAGTATATTGAACTGTCTCACTCAATCACTCAGTCTAAATTGGCTGACTTTTGCTTCTGCTCTGTTTCTCTTTACCCCCGGTTTTATTTTTATTCTCATTACTCCCTTTTCCATGTTTCCACTGCACTCCCCGATTTACATTTGCTGCATCTCCCTTCTGTTTTTGTATACCCTTCCAGATGATGAGGCCACTAGACTGAATTACATGCAGACTTAGTTGCAGGTAGTGCTCAGGCTGTGTGAGGCCCTTAGCTGCCACATGCAGCTTGAGTCAGACTGACAGGTAGCCTGGGGCTGATATCACGGATCTTCTTTCTCTCCCTTTCACTCCTCAACTATATGCTGCTCGCCTCCCTTCTGCTAGACATTATTGCATTAAAATTCACCACCCCCCACTTCTCCCCTGCTTAAGGCTTAGCAGGTTGGCATGTGGTGCATATACTCAAATCCACACTGCAAGCTTCTCCAACCCATGGCTGCAAGGACTTATGTTAGACGATGTCCCCTTCAGCATGAAACAGTGCTCAGCCAAGAGAACCGCCGTTACTGTCCAGCAGATTCAAGTGGTGACCACAGTTGCTGGAGGCAGGTCAAAGCAACTGTTTAGGGTGGTACTTCATGTTTGTCTGTGATAGTTCCTGGCAGCCACACTCGAGCGTTCCGTCTGTTGAGTCACCGCGGGGACTTGAACTCAGCCTGTGTCAACTGTCAAGCAGATGTCCAGGATCGGAAGGAGGGGAAGTGGCAATGCTTCAGAGAAACAGCGTCCTCAAGTGCATACACAAATACTCCTTCGTAAATGCCCACGTATATTAATTTACTACTTGACAGACTAGCGCTGAAAGGAAAATAGAAGGGAGGACAATTTGAGATGTGAGCAAAAATGAAAAAAAAAAAATAGATCTTCACACAGCGCAGAAGAAGGAACAATTCTGACAGCCCAGCTGGTGTAAGTGATTGTTTGATTGTCATGGGGAATTCAGGAAACTCGAGTGAGATTCTTTCTCCCTTTTTCGTTTCACATAGTGTCTAAAAAGGCTGCCAGCCTGGCCAGCAACTCCTTGTTAAACACTATTAAGGAAATATCTGTGACGCCCTGTCCTTCTCCTAGCTATGGCTGATATTTCTGGAGCAGAATGAGCCATGAAGATCCCCCAAAACGTGCCACTCCCTTGCTTTACCAGTTCAATAAAATAACAGATGATTGAATCCCGTCCCTCAAGTGACAGCTCAAAGCGAAAGCAAACTACGGTGACAAATACATTTGCGGCAATCACAGAAATTGTGTTTTGCATGATGTTCGAGGAGGAGTTGTCACTCAGAATTATCTCTTTCTTTGGTGACGAACACTGGAGAGGGATTTCAGCACAAAATACAAATTTAAAAAAAAATAAAAGAAGAGGAGAAACAGTGTGAGAGAAAATTCCAAAGCTGCTTCCAAAGCTGCTGCTCTGGTCTAATCTTTAAAAAAAAAAAAAAACTGTACACATGCACAAATATGAAAAAAAGAGGGGAGAAAATTAGATCATTAATGGGGATGGTAAAGCAATAGATGTGTGCATTTATTATGTGGAGAGACAACATAAACAAGTACTGCACAAAGTAGATAAGCAGGCCGTCACAAAGCTGCTGTTGGCCAGTGGGGGCCACTAATCTGAGTGCTGTGGACTACAGAGGCGTCAATATAGAGTGTGTGAACAAGAAATGAACTTTTTAAAACATTATTAACTACGTTAATTTCTAATTACACACACACACACACACACACACACACACACACACACACACACACACACACACACACACACACACACAC